TGTGTGTGTGTGTGTGTGTGTGTGTGTGTGTGTGTGTGTGTGTGTCTTGTGGGATCCTGCCAGCTCAGAGCTCGCTGAGCCAGAATTTGCCTGAGGGAGCCGCAGCCGTTTTTCCTTGGAAGGGCTGCAGCCTCTATTGCCCAAACTTTCCTTTCCTTTAGACTTAGTGACCCTGCCCCCGCCTCTCCCCCGCCCCCGCCCCCCCCCCAGTGATCCCATCTGACTGGCCTTTGCGAATGTTATCTGGGTCCTCTTTGCGCCTTTCCAGGGCCTCTAGGGAGCCGCAGCTTTGCACACACCATTATGCAATTCAGGCCTCTTTCCCACAACAGCCCCCTTCCCGGAGTGCCTCGGGAGAGTCAGGCTCCGCCCTGAGGGGATTTCAAGCAGCACCTGAAAAAAGGCCTTGTGGTGGGTCCCCGGGAAGTCCGATTCGGGGCTCCCAGAGAAGCTTGGGGGTGCTGGGCTGAGGGAGGAGCGGGGGGGGGGGCGGGACCCAGTAGGGCAAGGGGAAGACTGGCTTGTGTCTGTGCAGCCACAAGCACACTTTTTTTTTTGTCCGGACTGTAAATCCTTTTGTACAAACAAGGCAGGCCGTATATACATTCACTCATAGGCGTCATATGCATTGCCAATAACATAAAACAGTGTTTTTCACTCTCTGGGATTGTTTTAGCTCAGCGACTGAGAAATTTAATATGTTTTATACATTAATATATCAAAATGGCATTTAACATATCTCTGACCTTCCCATTTTTAAAATACTAATTGTAGTTTTTAATTGTTTAGGTCCTGCCTCCTGCCCATTACCTAGTGGGGTGCAAAAAAGTCACACCTTCACCCCCACCAGGTTCCCTGAAAGAACCTCAGCTGCCCCCACACCGGCCCGGCTTGACGGGGCAGCGGCTCCCGTTTCAGGGTTGGTGGAAACCCACCAAGGGAGCCACTTCCGCACAAGGGGCAGAAGTGGGCGCCGCCTGCTTCCTCGGTGGCCAGAACCGGACTGGTTGTGGGGGAACCAGCTGGGCAGGCTGGTGAAATGGGGAGGACCTTCCGCAAGGCATGCCAGGCGGGAGGGTCTCGGCTCCGAGGCTCCCCGCCTCTCTGGGGTCTCGCCGTTGCCCTGCCTGCTGCCCCCTTCGCCTGCTCGCAGCGCCGCCGAGGTGGCGGGAAGAGGCCGGCTGGGGGCCAATAGGCGGAGTGGCCCTGGGGGGCCAAAAAGGGGACCCCACCCGATCTACGAGCACAGCTGCGGCGGGGCTTGGCCGCTCTTGCCTCCTTTCGGTCGGGGACCGGCTTTGCCGCGAGCGGCTGGTGGGCCCCGAGGCCGCGGGAATCGCCTCCGTCGGGCTCGATCAAGGGAGCGGAGGGGCTCTCGGAGCTCAGCTTCAGCGGGCAGGCCCGGCCGATCCCTGCGCCCTGGCGAGAGGGGCGGCGGCGGCGGGGGGCGGGCCAGCTGGAGCCCCGCCCGCAGAGCCTCACCTGGCGCGGCGCCTTTAAAGGCCTGGCAGGGCAGGCGGAGCCCATTCCGCGGGGGGGGCGGCTGCTGCCCCCCCCCCCCCCCCCCCCGCCCCGGGCGTCCCTCTCCTCGACGGCGGCGATGGGCTGGCGGCGGGCTGCGCGCCTCCTGCCCCTGGCCTTCCTCGTCCTCCTCCTCCAGGTGAGCGCCTCCCCGGACCCTCCTTCCCGCCGCCGCCGCCTTGCCGGTTCGACGCCGCCCGGCTCTCGCGGGGCTCAATGGCCCCCGGGGGGCCGCAGGCCTGAGGCCGCCCATTCTCTCCCCCGCAGGTGGACCGCCGCCTGGCCGCCTGGTTGCCCCCGTGTCGCTCCGGCTTCGTCTCGCAGCGCTCCGGCTTCGCGGTGCCCGACGGGCGGCTGACGGCGGGCCAGGTCTTGAGCGAAGGTAAGCCCGAGGCGCCTCCTCTTCGTCCTGGCTGCCCCTCCCCGGGAGCCGAGCCCCTCCGGCGGCCCCTTCGTCCCACCTTCGGCCCCTTCTCTCCCCGCGGGGCCTCGGCTGGCTTGAGGCGGGAAGCGCTGCCGCTCTCGGGGGCCAGGTACGTGACCCGGGAGGGCAGCGGTTGGGCGGGAGTCCCTGGGGGCTTTTCCTCCCCCTCCGGCCTTCGCCCGCTGCTCTCCCCTTCCTTCGCTGGACGCCCGTCGAGCGGGGAGGCGGCCCTTGGAGGGCCCCCCCCTTGGGGCTGCGGCTCCTTTCCCGAACTTTTCATCCACTTTGCGCCCAAAGCTCCGCCGCGAATCGAACCGTCTCGAGGGGTCGCAGGAGATCCCGAGTCCTTCAGGGCTAAACGCAGATGAACTTGGGGTTTCTTCGAAAGTGAAGGATTTACATTCGGGGTCCCTCGGGATCTCTTAATCCATCGGTTGCTCGATCGGGATTGTTCCATGGAAAGTTCTCCCGGGATCTAGCGTGGGGGAGGGGGGGCTGGCGCAGAGGGAGGGGCCTCCTCGCTTTGCCTTCTTTTGCTGGTCCTAACTTGTTTAAGTCACACAGCGCCCCCCCCCCCCCCGCCTTTGAAGGGGGTGCAGTTAAAAGCAAGAGACATAATTGCTCCTGCTGCAACAGTAAGGGAGGCGGCTGGGATGGAAGCTCCCACCCCCATTTGAATCGGCGGCCTGTGAGTGGGGAGAAGCTGGGGGCTTGCAGAATCGAGGCCTTTGCCCCAGCGTCAATCCCACCCAATGCCTCCTCAGCCCCCTTTCCTCCTGGCCCAGGGGAGGGTGTTGTCTGAGAGCCCACCCCCACCCCCACCCCGCAGCTCCCGGAAGGGGCTGTTGTTGTGCAAAACGGGTCCATTGTGCCCCAGACAGAGGCTGGTCTGTCTCTGCTTCAGCACTGGGTCCTGCCAGGCATCCCGGAACTCCCTCTGCACCAGCCCAGAGCTGCCCTGATCTCCCCAAGGCCTGGCAGGAGGACTTTGGGGGGGTGGAGGGGGAACTTCTGCCTCACCCAAGATTTGGAAGCAGCCTGGGCTTCCCCCCACTCCCGCGGCTTGGTCCGTTGCCTGTGAAGCCCGGTGTGCCTGCTCCACAAAGCTAGTGGCTCCTTATGGTCAGATCCTGGCCCTTTGGAAGGGAAGGAGGAAGAGGTCCCTGCCCCCCCCCCCCCGTAATTGCACTCCCCCCAGGGTGGGGCTCTGGTTGTCCCTGCAGACTGAAGGCTCTCTCCCTCTCAGGCTGGGTGCTCTCCGTTGCCCACGCGGACGAGGACACGGCTCTGGGCATCCGTGTCCCCCCCCCCCATTGTTTCTGTTCTGCTCTCTGCTGCTTTGGGGAAGAAGAGACGGGTGCAATTCCCGGAGTTCTGCCCTCTTAGGCAGGCAGCTGCTTTCAACGCTGAGGCAAAACTGGGGGCGCTGGATTCAGAGGTGGGGGGCTGGCGTGGGGAGTGTGGTCTTTCTCAGCTGAGGATTAGCCCCGGGGGTGGCCCTCGCAGAGAGGCTGGTGGGGGGGCTCTTCCAGACGCTCCTTCCAGCAGTTGAGAGTGATTATGGGGCACCAAGTCCTTGTGAGCTGTTGATGGCCCCTTGATACCCAGGTAGTTCGGCCCCTGAGCCACCCTGAGTTGTGAGTGTGGTGCATTTTTTCACTGCAACTTTTGCTCCCAAATGTCCTTGCAGTCTGTCAAGGTGTTTGTGCTCTGTATCGGGCCAGAGGTCAGTGGGCCATTCCTGCACCCCCTCCCCACTAAATAAGCCTGGTGTTTACTGAAACATTAAGAGACAATCCCCCCCCCCAGTGGGTGTGTTTTCCTCACCTTTTGGGCAGCTTGGCCCTGTGAGGGAGGGGCCTTGAGATGGGATAAGAGCTGTTGCCTTGCAGGGACATTGCAGCCCCCCCCTCGCCCCCCCCCGTCAAGCTTAGGAAGAGAGGTAGGGGGAGGGGGAGCGCACCGTTTCCCTCCACCCCCCACCAGTAGGAGGTGTCCTTGGCCAGGAGGGGAGCAGCCGCCTTGTAGCCCTTTGATGGGGGAGGGAAGAGGCTGCCCTGAATGGCGACCGGGGCTCGTGGGGCAGTGGAGAGGACCCCCTCCCCCCCCCTCCGTCCCTCTGGGTAAGCAGTCCAAGGACTGGAAGTGCCGATCCATTAAAGGGCAAACAAGATCCCAGACCCAGGTGGGGGGGGGCTGCCCCAGAAGGCTTCTCGGGCGCATTCCAGGCTCTCCCCCGACCCTCAGTTGGGCAACCGCTTGCAGAGGGAGGGGCGGGGCTCCCGCTGGCCGGAGAGCCTCCCTCTGCCGGTGCCATTTACAGCGGGGAAGGGGGTTGTTTGGACAGGTTTCCCTAATCTGCTGGCTTTCCTCTCCCCTCCAGTCGGCTCCATCAGCTGCCCGGGAGGGGAGCCAGTTCTGGGCAGCCCCAACCTCCAAGTGCTGGCGGATGGAGAGTTGGTGGCGGTGCGGCAAGCGCGGGAGAGGCCTTTCAGGGTGCATGCCGGAGATTCCAGGGGGATCCCGTCATCGGCCTCCGTTGTCCTGCAGAACAAAGGCCCCCCTTCTTCGCAGGTGAGCCGCTTCTGCCCTCAGGGGAGCACAGGTGGCAGGGGCGCCATGGCAACCTCCCTGCCTCCCTGGCGGTTGCAGTGGAAACTCTGCTAATGGAGCACTGGGGCTCTGTGCAGGCAGGTGGAATGTGGGGGGGGTGTCACTCCCCTGCAAGGGGGCAGGGTTTCACCCGACCTAGGGGGGAGGACTGAAGGTGCGCTGGGCCCAAGGAGTCGATCCAAATGGTACATCAGCATTGAAGCTTCCAGTATTGTGTAACCCTCTGGCTGTTGTTGGACTACAATTCTCAGCATCCCCAGCCAGCAGAGCTAATTATAAGGCAGGCTGGTGTGGGGAGAGTGTGAATTCAGTAGCATCTGTAGGGCAACAGTAGCCACACTATTATAGCCTGTGGATTTTGAGCAAAGTCACATGAGAGAAAAATCCTCCTAACTTCCTGGACCTCATCCAGGGCTTCATTTCTCAAACGAATCACAACAATGGATTACCAAATAAATGTTCCTAAAGTGGAGGGATTGTTCAATGAAACTCTCCTTTTTTTGCATCTTCAAGTGCAAAGAAATTCACATTTTTCACAGAATAACAATAATAGTTAGATTCATCCCGGCTTCCTGTCTCTGTCTTTTGAAAACCCCTTTAAAATGGAAATGGCTCTAAATATGCTATTAAAATGGCTTTATCTGCTGTCTCTCAGTCCAAGGTGAATTCTTAGCTTGAAGTCATTCTAAAAAGTGCAGGGAAGGCGGGAATTCTCAGCTCAAGGAGAACGTTTAACGTTCATACTTTCATCCTTGGCTTTTGGCATTTTCTTGTGCACCCCGTTCTTCTGGTGTAGCTCAAGTTGGGGCGCCTGGCCAGCTGAGCTCAGAGGCCACGGGCTACCCGGCTGGAGAACCATAGTCCTTGGGCCGAGGGGCGATGCTGGCCGCCTGGGCCAGGGGGCTTCTGGTTGGGTCTTGTCTGCTGCATCCTCAGAACGGCCCTCCCTCCCATGGGACAACCCACCCACCCCGCATAACCCACCGGAGCTGTTCTTTCAGGAGGAACCGGCGCCGGCCAAGCCAGTGGGATGGCCGGAGTTCCCATTGACCCTGAAGAGGCGGAAGAGAGACTGGGTCATCCCCCCGATCCGAATACCTGAGAACGGGAGAGGCCCCTTCCCCAAAGACTTGGTCCAGGTGGGTGGAGTCCAGGAGGGAGGGTCTGGCCTGCCCACCAAGGGGGGGGGATGGCTGGAGCTGGCTTTTCTGGGTCCAAAGCTCAGTTGCCCACATCTGCATCGCAGCCCAGCAGTTGAGACAGTGCCAGCTGGGCGGGGCCATTCTCGGGGTGGGGGTCACTGCCCTGATGGAGGAAGCTCCCTTTTGGGGGCCAGGGGGGTCAAGGAGTCTAAGATGCCCCTTCCTTTCCTTGCCCCAGATCAAATCAAACCGGGATAAGGAGACCAAGATCTTCTACAGCATTACTGGGCAGGGGGCCGACACCCCCCCAGAAGGCGTCTTCATCATCGAGAAGGAGACGGGGTGGATGAAGGTGACGCGGCCTCTGGACAGAGAGAGCATCGAAAAGTACCACGTAGGTGGTCCTGGCTGAAGCTGCGATGGGGGGGTGGAATTGGGGGCTTCTGGCATTCCAGGCGGTTTCCCTCTTTCTGCAGCTGTTGTCCCACGCAGTCTCTGAGAATGGCAAACCTGTGGAGGAACCCATGGACATCACCGTCACGGTCACCGATCAGAATGACCACAAGCCCGAGTTCACCCAGGAGGTTTTCCGGGGGGCTGTCATAGAAGGCGCAACCCCTGGTAAAGAGGGGGGGGATCTTTTTTGGGGGGGGAATGGAGGGATTTGGCGCCAGCAGCCGGGAGGGGGGAGGGGCGTCCTTAGGATTGTGAAGGTGAATTTGGAAGGGAGTGCGCTGCATTGCACAAAACGGGGGAGGGGAGGGGAGTTATTCCCGGTTGAGCCTGGAGTTGCCTTAAGGGGTCCCGGACTCCCCTGGCCTTTGGTGGGGGCTCCTCCCTGTCCCAGGGGGGCGGGGGGCCGTCTCTGAGGGAGGTGGCTTCAAGCGCTGGGGCAGAGCCCAGGGGGGCATCCAGGCTGACCTCGGGCGCCTGCCCCCCTTCCCCAGGGACGTCTGTGATGCAGGTCGCGGCCACCGATGCAGACGATGCCATCGAGACCTACAATGGGGTCGTTGCCTACTCCATCCTGAGCCAAGCGCCCCAGGAGCCCCATCCGCAGATGTTTGCCATCAACCGAGCCACGGGGACCATCAGCGTGATTGCCAGCGGCCTGGACCGAGAGGTCAGGGGGGCTGGGGGGGGGAGAGACCCACCTGCTGCTGCTCCCTGGACTCTTCTCGGGTGCAGCTGGTTGGGGAGGGTCCTTCCTGGGAGAAGGCTGGGCAGCCCAAGCACTAACCGGGGCCTTTCCTCTTCCCAGCGGGTGGGCGAATACACCCTGATCCTGCAGGCGGCAGACTTGGACGGCCTGGGCCTGACCACCACGGCATCGGCAGTGATAGAAATTACAGATGCCAACGACAACCTGCCGGAGTTCACCAAGTCCACGGTAGCTTATGCTGTAGAGGCCGGGAACGGGAGGGCCTTCCTGGGAGCAGAGCAGGGGCCACAGCATAGGCCCTCGGCTCCCTTCCGTTGGCTCACAGCACCAGCTGCAACTGGCAGTTGTGTGAAGCTGCAACGGTGGTCATGAACTGGGAGCGGAGGCCAAGCAAGCCAAGTCGGAGCTTCATGTGAGGCTTGAATCTAGTTTGCGGTGTGCAGGCTTCATGGGGGATTCCACCTGCTCTGGACTGTCCCTCCCTCCCTGCAGACTTGGCTAAATTGAGGCTCTCCCTCTTGCACAGCCGGGAGGGCTGATGGCTCCCGTATGGGGTGGCTGGGTGGGTGGGCAGCAGTGCCTCCCCTCAAGCCCCCTGAGCTGCCAAAGAACCAGGAGGGGGTCCATTATCCTTCAGGCTCTCAATTGGCTGCTTGCCCCTTCCTCAGTATTCAGCAGAGGTGGCGGAGAACAAGGAAGGTGTGGAGGTGGTGAGGCTGGCCGTGACCGACAAGGACGAGCGCCACTCCCCTGCCTGGCGCACCGTGTACAGCATCGTTCAGGGCGACAGCGGGCAGCTCTTTTCCATCTCGACGGATCCAACGACCAACGAAGGAATCGTGAGAACAGCGAAAGTAGGCACAACCACCAGCTCCCCCCATGCCCAAGCTTGTGCGTTTGTGTGTGCAAAGAGACTGGAGGGGTGCTGGCTAGGGAATTCTGGGAGTTGAAGTCCATGCAACTCAAAGTTGCCAAGGTTGAGAAAGGCCGCTTTAGCCATTGCTGAGGTGGCCGGGTGAGGCTCGTTCCGTCCCTCTGCTGGGCAGCTGCGTCTCCTGACTCCTCTGTCTCCTGGCGCAGGCTCTGGACTTTGAGGCGAGGAAGCAGTTCGCTCTGCAGGTGGCCGTGGCCAACGAGGTGCCCTTTGCGGTGAAGCTGCCCACCTCCACAGCCACGGTGACCATCAACGTGCAGGATGAGAACGAGGCCCCCGTCTTTGCCCCCCCGGTCCTGAGGGTGACGGTCTCGGAGGGCAGCCCCGTGGGGCAGGAAATTGGCGCCTACACGGCGCACGACCCGGACACGATGCAGCCCCAGAAAATCAGGTGAGCTGCCTTGCTGAACAGCCGAGGAGGGTTCCCCCCACTGGCCCTCAAGAGGTGGGGAGGAGATGCTTCGGAGGGGCCCCTCAGGGCAGAGGGACCCCCGGCACCTGCAGCTTCCGGGAAGAGGAGGCTACCTGGGCAGGTGGTGGTGATGCCATCCCCCAGCAGCACCTCTGGGGCACCAAGGCTCCCATTCATGGAAAGGAAGGTTGGGGCAGGGAAGAGGAGGGGCCGAATGGAACCCCCCGGGGAAAGGGGGGGCAGATTTGAAGAAGGAGGCAACAGCAGGCAAGTAGGTCCCTGAGCCTCCTGAGCCTGGTCAAGAGTGCGTTTTGTCCACAGGAGAATTTCCAGGCTGTTTCCCTGGAGAAGGGCGGCTCCACTGCCCCTTTGCCTTCTCCAGCTCCGCCTTTCTCCCCCGGTCCCCAAAGTCCCACCTCAGAGCCGCCCCCCCCGCCCCTCCCTCAGCCCCGATCTGCTTTCCCTTCAGGTACTTGCTGGGGGATGAGCCTGCCCAGTGGCTGAATGTCCACCGGGAAACCGGCATCCTCACCACCAAGGCGCCCCTGGACCGGGAGTCCCCCCTCGTCCTGAACAACACCTACGTGGCCATGGTGCTGGCGGTGGATGATGGTAAACACTGCTGGGAGGATGAGGCAGCCCCCCCCCCCATGGCTGGGGAATGAAGGGCTCCTTTGTTGAGCTGAGTGGCGGTGGCTGCTTGAGAGCCGCCCACGTGAGGGACACATGGTGCCTGGCTGCGGAGGCCGCCCGGTCATGGGAACCAGCCTGCCGGAGGGCGGGGGCAGGTGGCCCCTGCTCCCCAAGAGCCGCTTCCACTGATTCAGACTAAGTTGTGATGCCCGACTGTGCCCCATTCTGTCTGCCACGGCCAAGGTGGGGGACTTGCTGGGCAGACAAAGCAGCCTCCGGAGCCACAGTGGACCGGATGCCTGCGGGGGCCTTGGGGGAGAAATGGGGCGAGACGTGGCAGAGATTGGGGGCTGGTAAGAGGGCAGAAGTGGGGCCTTTGTTCCCCTTCCTTTGAGGAAGAGAAACCGCCCTCGTGCCTCTCCATCATCTGGCTTTTGAGGCTGTTCTGTTTTAAACATGGCTCCCCCACCCCCGCCCCCCCCAGGAACCCCCACAGCGACAGGGACAGGGACGCTGCTGCTGACCCTGCTGGACGTGAATGACCACGGCCCCGAGCCCGACCGGCGGAAGTTCACCGTGTGCAACTACGACCCAGCCCCACAACTGCTGCACATCTCGGACAAGGACCTCCCCCCGCACACCTCCCCTTTCCAGGCGGAGCTCCTCCACAACTCGGAGGAGAACTGGGCGGTTGAGATGGACAGCGAAGGTGGGCAGCCTCGGCCTCCTGGGAAATGGGCACTGACCCTCCGGCCCTCAGTGCCCCCCCGTCCCACAATCCGCTAGGCGGGTTGGCTGCCAGCAGGAGGGAGGAGAAGGCCCGGGCTGGCCTTGGGTCCCACCGTTTCCTGACTCCTCCAGGGGAGACGGCTGTCCTGAAGCTGCTGAAGCCCTTGAAGCAAGAGACCTACGAGGTCTACCTGCGGCTCCTGGACCAGCAGGGCAAGTCGCACCTGACCATCCTCAGGGCGACCGTCTGCGAGTGCCAGGGAGAGGTGGATGCGTGTCCGGAGGGGCAGATGGCTATCGTTGGGGCGCCCATCATCCTTGCCATCTTGGGGGCCGTTTTGGCCCTTCTGAGTGAGTGTGCAAAGGCTGCCCGTGGGGGGATGGGGATCCAGGGGGTGGGTCCCCCCACCCCCAACTGCTAGAGCTGCACATCCACCTGGACGCTCTCTTGTGAGAGTGGCCACAGCTGGGAGGCAGGCAAGGCCAACAGGTGCAGATCATGGCCTTCCCTGGCCACGGGGAGGAGCCTGTGGACGATCTTTTCATACCATCCGCATAATACTGAGGACTAGACCCATGGGTTCTCGGAGAATGGTGGTTGGGTCTTGGGATGGTGGCCTTGTGGGGCCTCCCTGAGCTCTGCTCCCTCCCTCGGCTGCGCCTTCAGCGAGGCGCCGACTGACCCTGGCTGGCTCTGTGTTCCAGTCCTGCTGCTGCTGCTGTTGCTCTTTGCGAGGAGGAGGAAGGTGACGAAGGAGCCGCTGCTGTTGCCGGAGGACGACACCCGGGACAACATCTTCTACTATGGCGAAGAAGGAGGGGGCGAGGAGGACCAGGTGGACCCCCCGGGAAGGGCCGAGTTCCCCTTATGACTGGGCCTGGGGGTCTGCTTTGGGGGAAGGAGCGGGGGGAGCTTCTGGGTGGCCCCTCCACCTTGGCCAACCGGCTCCTCCTTCCCTGCCCCGAAAGGACTATGACCTCAGCCAGCTGCACAGGGGCCTCGACCCCCGGCCGGACGTCCTCCTGCGGAACGACGTGGTGCCGACCCCTCAGCCAGCCCCGCAGTATCGCTCCCGCCCTGCCAACCCCAATGAGATTGGCAACTTCATCTGTGAGGTAAGGGAGGCTGGGTGGGCACCTCCTGCCTTGCGCTTGCTGGTCCCTGGGTGGGCTGCCCAGCAGGATCTTCTGCCCCCTGTAAGCAGGCCGAGCCACCCCAGGCCCAGGGTCACCTCTGTGTGTGTGTGTGTGTGTGTTACGTTTAATAAAGTGAGGGGGACAAGGACTCTAGCATCATCGGCTGAGCCCTGTTTTAAGGCTGCTACTGTAGCTTCTGGGTTCCCAGTAGGGCCCACCCCCTACAGCACCAAATTTGGAGTGGGGCTCGGGGCTGCCTTCACCTCTGGCCGGCCCCGTCCAGATCAGTCGTGATGAGAAGCACCTGAAGTTCCGTCTGTCCATATGCTCCCTCCTTTCCCTCCCAGAACCTGAAGGCTGCTGACCTGGACCCCACCGCGCCCCCCTACGACTCCCTGCTGGTCTTTGACTACGAGGGTGGGGGCTCAGAGGGGGGCTCCCTCAGCTCCCTCAACTCCTCGGCCTCCGGACAGGACCAGGACTACGACTACCTGCACGAGTGGGGCAGCCGCTTCCAGAAGCTGGCAGACCTCTATGGGGGAGGCGTGGCCGACTAGAGGGCTTCGCCCTGCAGCCCAGCTGGGCTGATGGGCGGTGCATGGTCACCCTGAGCCCCAGGCCAGGTGGGAAGCAGAAGGCGCTGCTGTGGACTCTGGGGGGCTCCAGGAGACGGACCTTCGGCCATTTTCACAGCGGGGCAGCTACGTCCTGGGCAGAGGTGTCTCCGGAGGTGCTCCGTCCTGCCAGAGGGGACCTGGCTGCAGGTCGCGAACTCTCCGCCCTGCGCCTCCATCTGGGGCTACCCTGCTGCAGGTGCTGCCCAAGATGGGCCTGGTGGGGGGGGGGCTGCTGGATGATGGACCCCTCATCCTTCTTGACCGTCTCTGATCTTTTGTATTGTAGCTCAGTTAGGGCCTGAGATTTCTTTTTATAGCATGTGGGAAATAACTTGATGACCTCTAGTGGGCTGGACAATCGGGGTGTAAAGTTTTAATAAAAAGCTTTTTTTAAAAAATGCACCACCAACCTGCCTCATGTTTGCTGAGGGAACCAAGGCTGCCCTGTGCCTGAACAGCCGCTCCGCTTAGCTGTTGCCAGCCTTCCCAACACAACCCAGCAACCTGGGTGGGGCAGAGGCTTCTGGCTCCTCCGCTCCCCGAACACGCGTCTCCCATTCCCACCCGAAGGCTGCAGCCCTCCTAGCTTCTCCCCTTTCCCGCAGCCGCTCTGGGCTCTTGCCTTGCATGTTCAGTCCTGTTCTGGGGAGGAAAAGAGGAGCCGGAGCTGCAGCTCTTCTGCCTGCCTGCCTGCAGCCAACCCTTCCACTCTCCCCTGGGCCCGGGTCCTTCGCCTGCATCCCAGGCAGCCACTCTTGGGCCTTCCGGGGCGCCCTGGCACCAAGGCTCCCACCGCACAGCAGGTGGCAGGGCAGCGCCTGGAAGCGGCCCTCGTCCTCCCCGGGGTCCTGCGGGCTCTGAGGGCCTTTGGCTGGCCGCCAGCTCCGCCCTCGCCCGACCGGTTTTTCCTGCCGCTGCGAGAGGCCCGGGCCGCGGATGGGGCGGCAGCTGCCCGGGGCGAGAGGAGGCTGCAAAGGGGAGGGCAGCTGCCCCACCGCCCTGCCCGGGAATGGAGGCCTCGCAACTCCAGACCAAAGAACCGGGCAGCTCCGGGGGCGCCTGGGTCGGGCGCCACGCAGATCTGGCCGCTCGGAGGCCATTGCCGCGCAGCCCAGCGGACGGGCGGGCGGTCAAGCGCTCCCCCGACGGCCCCGGGGCCGCTGCCCCTCGCCCCCGCTTCCCCGGGCGGCAGCGCCGCAGTTGCGCGCAGCTCTTCCCAGGCAACCCTCGCCCGGGAGCCCCGGAAGGCGCCCCCCCCCCCCCACGAGCGCTCGGCCTTCCCAAGGGCGCCCCTCGAGTCGGCGGCTTCTGCCCCGGGACGCGGGCCAGGCGGCGGGCGCTGAAGCCGCAGGTGGCGCAGCCTTTGTGGGCCAAGCGCTCGGCCGGGAGCGGCAGGTAGACCGCTCGCTCGCGAGGGCTGCTCCGGCCCGCCCCGTCCGGCCGCACCTGCCGATCCCGCGGCGCGAGAGCGGGGAGGGCGAGGCTTCCCTGGGGCGGGGCTTCCAGGGCGGGCGGAGCCTCACCTGCCACAACCGGAGCGGCAGCCCGGCCGAGGCAAAGTTTGCAGGCTTGGCAACCGCGCGCACCTCCTCTCGCTGCGATGGGGACCCAGGCGGGGCTCGGCCTGCTGCTGCTGCTGCTGCTGCTGCTGCTCCAGGTAAGACGGGGCCCCCGGGCGCTGGAGCCCCTCTCTGCTTCGGGTTAGCCGTGCCGGGAGCCCTCCGAGGCAGCGGCTGGCGGGTCTCTTTCCCGCCTTGAGTTCCGGGAGCCCCTCGGCTGGGGCCAGCGGGCGCCTCTCTCCCCCTTCCAGTCTCGGACCCCGGAGTCTGCCGGGAGGCTCCCCCTCGGACTTTGGGACCCCGGTGAGGGCTCCAGGGCTTGCCTTCCTCCGGATGAGCCGGTCATGGGAACTCCGCTATTTGGGTTGGGCGCCCCCCCCACCTCCCCTCACTCTTGTCCTTGGCTTCCAGGGTGAAAAGGGGCTCAGCCAGGATGGGGCAACAGCCTCTTGCCGGCCAGGATTCAGCTTGGAGGCCTACCTGTTCCGGGTGCCCAGGCGAGACTTGGAGAGGGGCCGGATGTTGGGCAGAGGTGAGAGAGCCCCTGAGTGCTGCTGGCTGCCCAGTCTTGGGGGGCGGGGGGCTGAGGGAGAGAGTGAATGGTGCTGCCCCCTTCCAGGTGGGAGGGCATCTTGTGCCGCTGGTGCCTTGGAGGAAGGAGAGGAGATTCGGGTGGCATTCAGATCCCTTCTCCATTTCCTGCTTTCTGAAAGGGAAAGTGGCAGCTCTTTGGGGAATCTGTAAAATGGGTGTGTCAACCTTCCGCCTCCCTTAAGAGGGAGAACCACTCAGGCAAGCATTAAAAGGGGGAGTTTCTGTCCAGAAGGATGAATTTCAGTCCTCAAAAAGCTCCTTCAGCTCCATTAGGCCGAGCACTTCACGCATGAGGGTTGCTTACTAATTTATTTGTTTTCGTTTTTATTGATTTTTCTGGTAAAGTTTTTCAATGATGTTGCCATCCATCCAGAATTCAGTGCATTGGGGCAGCTTGGAAGTATTTCCAAGAATAATTTCCACCCCCAGAGTTGCTGTCTCTTTATTAGTGGCTTCAATACATCGGTTCTGGTTTTAGACCTTGTAGGCTGCCCAGATTTGTTGGAAACTTAGAAATGTACATGGCAAATAAATAAAAATATAGTAACGCTAAGAAGTTCCCAGAGCTCCTGTCTAGGGCAATTTAAAATGTCAGAGGGAGGCCCTCGGGGTCAGCCTGAGGGAGGAAGAGACGGCCTCAGACTTCTCTGGAACTACCTCTGTGGGGAGACACCCCAAGAAAGCTGGGCTGGTATTTCCACTTAAGGCTGAGTCTGTGTGTGTGTGTGTGTGAGAGAGAGAGACAGGTGGCCGGGAGGCAGCCTCCCTGCTGTCCTCGGAGCCAGGCACAGGCTACCTGCGTGGCTCAGGTACTTTCCACCTGGCCTTTTCCTCCTTTGGCAAAGCAAGGGGGAGCTTGGCAGGAGGGGGAGGCCTGCTTCTCCTTGCAGCTGTGCAGGGTTGGGCCTGCACAGGCTCTGTGTGTGTGTGTGTGTGTGTGTGCGCGCGCGTGCACACACAAGCAGTGTTTGAACGGTGATGGTCGTTTCTGTCTTCCTGCTGGCACTTCAGCCGTTGGGGTGAGCCTGAGAGGAGGTGGCTGCTGCCCCTTGAGTTGTGTCAACAGCCTCTGGTGAATCATTTACTTGGCTGAGCCGCTCTGCAGGCCTGATTTCTCAGCCCTGCTTCAAAAAGTCCCTCCGAGCTGACCTTGCCTCCCAGCGCAAACTGAGCAGGGATCCAAGCTGCTTTCTCGACCCCTGGCCTCCCCCCTCCCCCGCCCCACAACACTGGGCTGGCACTGGTTTTGAGATCACGGATTGTCCACGAAAGCTCCTTACACACCCACTTGGGTGCCGACAAATGTCCTCTCTGTGCCTAGGAATTTTAAATATTTTCTTGGCTGCCTACAGAGCAAAAGCATGAAACATTTTCCAGCGTTCTAGGGTTTCCATGGATAATTCTGGGGGCCTTTAAGCCCCTGGGATCATCTGCAGAAGCAGCATTGTCAAAGCCACCCAGTAGAGCAAAACCCGTCTGGTGGGTTGGCCTGGTTCCTCCGATGTTCTACCAGCTCGTCTACCCAGGTGCCCTGCAGAAGGACATCATCTCTCCAGAAGGGCTGGGAAGGCTGGGAGCTGCTCGTAGCTCCGGATGACGGGGCAGGAAAATTGCATTCAGGGGAACCAAGTGGGGAAGAGGCTGACCTAAAATGGCGCATCCCCCCATTTTCAAGCCTTGTGTTTGTGAGAGGACGTCTCTCTCGGCTGGCATCGCGTTGGCCTGCGAGCTCCGGCCTGTGTAGCGCTTGAGAGCTTCCTTAGACCAGGCCTTGGGGCGCTTGGGACTCCCCTTAATCGGCCTTCCAGGTTTTGAGCCTCTGAGGCATCCGCGGGGCCTTTATTGGGATAAATCGCCCATTCAATAGTCACCGTGCTTCCTTTTCCAGTCTGAACTGGAGCTGACACTGACTGCTGCTGTGACTAATAAAAGGACTTGAACCTTGATTCTTAATAGTTTTTTAAGGTGCGGCATCAAACTTTCAAACTTTGAAAGGCGGCTAGTGGGGGCCGCTGCCCTGAACTGAGTTCTTTGTCATGTGATGGCTCTTCCGAATCCGCTGGAGCCAGGAAAGAAAAGAAAAGGGGCCGTTCTGGGTGTCCCTGGTCTGCTTCCGGAGGGGTCTCTCCTGCCTGGGATTGTGGGTCACCTTTGCCTCGGTTTCCTCTGCGGTTTTCCAGGTCCAGCTAGCGTGGTCTGCGTGCGAAAGAGGTTCCCCTTTGCCAGATGGGGCTAGTTGGGGACTAGGCGGCCATTGGTGGGGCATGTTTGAGGTTCAGTCCTTGGGTTGAGCTGAGACTAGGAGATGATGACCCCAAGGGCCCCTTCGAATTGAGCGTTTCGTGACATAGCATGGGAATGTGTATGACACACATGCAATACTTTATTATTCGCACATTGCAACATTTGAAGGAAGCTGAGTCAAGTTTTTGCTGCTCCAGCGTGAGTTCCAGTGCATCTCTGGCGTGACTCCTTCTCCTTCCTGTGGTTTTTCCTGAGATTTTGGTGCTATCGGCTCCGGTTGTTTTGCAAGAGGTTCGGTCAGATGAGGCAGAGCCTTGGTTCACGCCTCTGCCCTGGATGGACTTGGTGGCCTTAAATCCACCAGGCCCTAAAATCGGCCTCCTTTGTCCAGAGGTCTGCCCTCTTGGGGGACTCGTGTTCTGCTCGGCCCCTGGAGGCTGCTGATGAGATGGTTTGTTTCCAAATCTTGGCTTAGAGATTCTCGGCATATCTCAGAAATCATATATACACCCACAAGAAGCTACCTAGGCCATCCGAGCTGCACTGAGGGTGTTGCGTGAGAGATGGAGCACACCTGGTCTTCCCCTGGCCTGATTACGCACCTTATGCAAAGGAGGCCCGAGGGTGGACGGTCAAGAGACGCCCCTCTGGCACTCAGAGCCCAGGGGGCCACATCTCTGCCAATGAAAGAGGAAAGCCAGCCGGCTCCAGGCTGGCACACCCGGCGGTTTGGGAATGGGTATAATCAGGCAGCCGGTGGGCCCCAAGGGGCAGGCGGGCACCCCTAGCCAGTGCTCAGGCGCCCTCAGGCCTGGCAGGGAGTGGGCCTGGGTCCCACTGGGGTCCCACTTGAAAGGTCCCGCTGCCCCCTCAGAGCCCTGCAGGGCCCAGGGTTTCAAGCCCAGCTACGGCAGCTGCCTCGCTGGTTCCATGGCTCAGCCTAGTTGGCGATGCCAGCTGGGCCTCCCTGAGCCTTGCGCTCAAGGTGGGCCTAAGGAAGGAGGGGGCACTTCAGGGAGGCAGGTTCTGGGCAGACAGAAGCTGCCGCTTCGCACAGGCAGCCCTCCTCATGCAGGCAAGGCTCCCTCCTGGAGCCCCAGAGGGCTCTGCCTGGGTCCTTTGCTGCACCTCCAGGATTTGCCTGCCCCCCCCACCCCTCCCCCCCCACAACTGACCCGGTTCACCCGATTAAAGGAGACTTTTCAGGGCGGGGAAACTCCCGCCAGGCGGGCGAAGGCTTCCGTCCTCTGAATCAGCTTTCAGGTGAAACTCTTGTTCTGCCACTTGGAAAGTCATGGCGAAACTCCAGGATGAGGTCACTGCTGGAGAGTCTGGCTCCTGCCCCGGGGGGGCGGGGGGGGGGATTGGCCCCCTCTGACACATCCAAGGCACCGGCCGACCTTCCCTCTCGGGCCGTTGGAGTGACGTCATGGCCCTTTCGTTGTCGGGGAGGAGCAGGTGGCCTTTGCCTCCCCGGACTCCTGGCTCTGCTCCTTGGGCCTGAATCTGGCTTCCTTTCACGGGCAGCCCTGAGCCTCGGAGCACCACTGGGACCAGCGATTCCGCTGCTAGGCAGGCAAGGCAGGTTGTTTAAGTGAGTCGTCCGATTTTACGGCCTTCTTTGCCGCCTGTTATTAAGCGAGTCACTGAAGCTGTTAAGTGAACCAAGTGGTCCTTTAGCGAATCCAGCTTCCCCCATTGGCTGGGAAGGTTGCAAATGGTGATCACGTGACCCCCAGGCCCTGCAGCTGTCCCCAAAACATGGCCGTAGCCAAGTACCCAAATTGTGACGGTCGTAAGCAGGAGGGCCGCCTGTCAGCTGGTTTCTTCAGAGCTAGACAAGGACTCCCTGGAGCTCTGGAGCAGCAGCAGCAGCGGGGGGGGGGGGGGGCGGGGGCTCTTCTTCCTCCTGGCCAGAACTGCTCCCCCTCCCCCCGCAGAGAGAACAGGAAAGACTTTCGCATGCTCTGCTTTCTTGAAGGTGCCTTGAGTTCCGCAGGCCCTTGGAGTGTGCTGCTGTCAGTTGGGACTTTCCCTTTGGGAAGGGGCTCCTCCTGACCTTCGGGGGAGGGGAGAGCCTGTTCCCCCCCCCCCCCCCCCCCCGTGTGATTCTTTTCTGCTTATCCTGGCTGGATGAGGAAGTGGGGCCTTTTTTGTGGCTATCGTTTTGATGGGCCCCTCCCTGAGCTGGAATGTGGGAAGATGACGAAGATTGTTTGCTTCCCCTGATAAAGGCTCTGAGGAAGCTCTGCCCATATTTGGCCTTGCATGGAGGGACTAAAATGGGGAAGGGGGAGATTCCAGCCAGCCCTCGTTCACCTCTGTTCCCAGGCAGTGCCCTTCGTTTCTGCTTCTTCCCCTTGGAGGGCCAGGGAATGTCGCCCCTCCTTCTGAGTGGGGAGAAGAGCCTGCTGTGAGGGGCAGGGGCCCTTCGGCCCAGTGGCCCCTTGCCAGGATCTCCTCAGAGGGAAGGCAGCCTCTGGGCTCAGAGCCGGCTCTCAGGGCTTCCCCCTTGGACTGCAAAGGGTTGGGGCCCCTCCCAGGCGCCCTGGAGGGTTTGGGTTGCTGTCAGTCACGGGGGCAGAGAGTCCTGTGGCTGCCGAGACCTGGCTGGACGTTGCTGTGTCCAGGCGCTGAAACACAGAAAATGGGCTTTTGAGCCCACCTTCCCAGGACTGGAGACCTTTTAAGAAGGAAACCGAGGTCCCACGATGGCTGTGACACCAATAAAATCACAAGATTTACCACATTAAAAACGACAACAGCCAACGACTTTTCTTTTTTGAGGAATCCAGGGAATTAAGGTCTGGGCTGGAATGAAAACGTGGCCATACATTGCAAGGCCGAAAAACACCCCCAAAGCCTTCAGCGTGCAGGGGTTTCATAGGTTTACCCCAAACTCTTCTCGTCTGCCTGGAAGGACAGAGGCTCCTGCAGGTTAAACGCCTTTCTGGGCAAGTCTGGGGCCCAGGAGGACCATTGTTTGCTCCCTTCACCAACCCCCCCCCCCAAAAAGGGAAGGAGACACCAGAGGTCGCCAGCCTCCCCCCCCCACTCAGGTCTGCACTGCTGCAGGAGAGATGGGAGATGCGGGGGGGGGGGTTCATGCCCTGAAGCGAGGCTTTCCACCCCCATCCCTGCACCTTCTGGAGGGGAGATTCCTATGCAGGAGAGCCTGGGGATTGGGGTCCAGTGGGAGGGGATTTCCCCTGGAGCCCCCCTTTCCCACCCTTGGCCTCTTCCAGTGGTGGGGGTGTGGCTTGCGATGAGAACACACACACACACACACACACACACACACACACGCACACAGACAGTGGACCCTCCCCTGCGGAGCCTGCCTGGACTTGCACAGATGGGGGGGAGGGGACAGGCGCTCCTCCCAGGGCAAGACAAACCCTCTCCTGCCCCGGCACAGCAGCAGCGGAATTGAGCGCTGCTCCTCCCAAAGTAGGCCGGCTGGAGGAACCAGCTTGAGTCCCTCCACGCCCTCTGCCTTCCCTGCCCCCACCCCCCACCCAGCCCCGGGCAGGCTGGCAGGACTGCTGTGCGCCCAGGTGGCTTCTGGGCCTCAGAGTCCAGGGCTGAGCCTCCCTGGGGCCCCAGGGCCAGAGGAGGGAGGGGGCAGCCCAGCCTCTCACTCAGGTGGCCCCTCCCAGCCGCTTCTTGTGGAAAGAGAATGGGCCCCGGAGCGGATGAGAGAGAGAAGGAGGACCCCCAAAAGTGAGGTTGCCTCAGGAGAAACCAAGAGGGGGCTGGGAGAGCTTGCGGGGGGGGGGGGGGGGAGATCTTTGGAAAGGTGCTTCCCTGCCCCCCGTCTGCAGGGAAGGACCCCCCCCCCCATGTTCTCTGAAGGAGCCCTGGGGGTTCCCAGCCCAAGACCCCCCCTCTCCTTCGCTTGGTCCTGAGCCTGCCTTTCCAGCTTCTCCCCTTCTCAGCAAGGAGGTTGGGGGGACAGGCCAACCACTGACCCTCAGGGTACTGGCCCTCCTGGACCTGGACATCCTCCCGCATGCTGGCCGCATCAGCATGTCCGGTCGGACTTGGGGAACCAAAAGCTTGGAGAGGAGTTCCCTGAACCGAAGGGCCTCTCTCTGGCCAGGCTGCAGCCTTCGTCGGGGGGGGGGGGGGGGAGTGGCTGCCTTTTCCTGAGGAGAAGTCAAAGGGCAGCACCTGGTCTGGTTTCCTTAAAGAGATCCAGAGCTTCAAGCGTATTTCCCACCAGCCAGCGGCTCACTTCTGCTTGGGGTTTTGCACCAGCAACCTCCTTTTTGTGTTTGGTCTCACAGCCGTCTTAATCCCAACCTCCCGGGTATCCCTCAATCTGGGGGAGGGGGGCCTTGCCATTGGTGGGTATTCCTGGGTGGGGCTGCCCCTGCCCCACATTGCAATAGCACTTAGATTTCTATACCGCTTCCCAGCCCTCTCTAAGCGGTTGACAGAGTCAGCCTCTGGCCCCCAACAATCTGGGTCCTCATTTGGCCCACCTCGGAAGGATGGAAGGCTGAGTCAACCTGGAGCCTGGTGACATTCGAACTGCTAAATTGCAGGCAGACGGCAGTCTTCAGAGGTAGCCTGCAGTACTGCACTCTGACCACTGTGCCACATGGCACATTGATTCAGCTCCAGCAGCTCCGCCGAGTCAGCCTCCCTTTCATGAAATCGACCTTCTGGGGACCCGAGTCAGTGTCCATTGACTTGGTCGGGGGGGGGGGGTGTCTGTGGAGTCCTCACCCTCATCACCAGGGCATGTGGAGAACGAGCCCGGTGGCGACTGGCACATCCCCTTGGGCTCAACATCCCGCCAGGCTTAGCAGGCCTCAGGCTGGGAGGGAGGCAGTGCCTATGGCAGGCCACGAAGTCCGTTTTTCTCCTGCAGCGATGCGCGAGGTGAGCTGAGGTGGCTGGAGAGAGGCAGCCCCTGTGCCAGGACGCCCTGCGGCTGCCTCCTCCCCTCCCGCCTGGCGAGTCTTGCAGGCTCCCAGCCAGGCTGAGCTGGAGGCTGGGGGGGCGGTGTTTGTGTTTGAAAAGCGGCCTCTGCTTGTAGCGGTGCCACACCGGCGCCCCCTGGTGAGCAGAGTTGGCCAAGGCAGCTTGGCAAGAGCAGGCTGGTGATCCTTGTTTTGTTATTTGTTTGATGAACGTGTATTAGGTAACCAATATAAGTATAAACATGATTATTGGACAGGGATGATAGGCACGTTGGTGCGCTTATGCACACCCCTTACAGATCTCTTCGGAAAAGGGTGAGGTCAACAGTAGGTTGAAGTTTTGGGGGCTTGGGGAAGAAACCACAGAGTCAGGTGGAGTATTCTGGGCTGGGCTCCTGGGTCACGGTCTCCGGCTGTCTTTCTCACCCTTCCAGTGGACTTTGAGGGCTGCGCAGGGAGGAGCCCAGGAGCCTTCCTTTCCCAGGACACGCACTTCAAGTTGCATCCAGATGGCACCGTTGTGGTGAAACGGCCCCTGCACCTCCACAACCAGGAACTGAGCTTCCTTATCCACACGTGGGACCTGGAAGGCAGGAAACATTCGGCCAGAGTGACCCTGCAGCTCCAGCACCAAGGCCATCACCGGCTGCTTCCTCATGGGGTATGCACCCCCTTTCCCTGCTTCCTTGGGGGGAGAAGTTGCTGGTCTTTGGAGCCTGCTCTTTCCTTGCTTGCTTGCAGAACCAGAGAGCCCTGTCTTTCTTCACAGGAGACCGGTCCGTCTGCTCAGGGGGAGGTGCTGTATTTTCGAAAGTCTTCATCTGGCCTGAGGCGGCAGAAGAGAGACTGGGTCATCCCTCCGATTCTTTGCTCTGAGAATGAGAGGGGCCCTTTCCCCAAGAAACTGGTGCAGGTAAGGACTTTGCTTCTGCTGGGATTCTCTTGCACCTTTTAAAGTTAGGCAGCAAATGACCCACAAATGCAGGGCCCCAAATATTGCTTCACCCGAGCTCGGCTAAACTTGTGGCAGCGCTGAGTGGACATTTGCCCTAAACCCCTTGGCTCTCACTTCAGCTGAGCTCGGGGCCTGCATTTCTGCCCCGGGCCAGGCAACGCAGCTGCCCCGGAGGGTGGGGAGGGCTGCTGGCCCACCCCGGTCCCTGACCCGATCTCCACCCCAATCAGATCAAGTCCAGCAAAGACAAAGAAAGCATCGTCTACTACAGCATCACCGGGCAGGGGGCCGACATCCCTCCGGTCGGCACCTTCATCATCGAGAGGGAAACCGGCACGCTGAAGGTGACCCGCCCACTGGACAGGGAGAAGATTCCCCGCTACGTGGTGAGTCCACGTGGCCTGCTGTGGTTATACATGTTGCTTTCAGTTTTGGGTGGCTGCACTGGGTGGCGGAAGAGCGCCTGGAAATCGGCTATGGGGATTGGGCGGGAGGGCAAAGGTCATTGCGTCCTCTGGGATGCCAGGACAGCTGGGTCCCTTTTGGGTGGCAGAGGGTTTCGTCCCGACCAGAAAGCCCGCGAAGGAACCCCGTTTAGAAGCCGGCGACTCTGGAGGGAAGCCACCACTTTCCTAAAGTGCCTGTTTATTCCTGTCCAAGAAACGTTCCTGTCTCCTGTCGTGGTGGCCCCCAGGGGCCTGAGGGGCTCCCGGGACCCCCGTCCCAGGCCTTCCGAGGGCATCCCTTGTCCTTCGGGGCCGCCTCTGCAGAGCTGGCAGCGCTGGGTGCCAAGGACTGTTGAGCTCTGTGAAAGAGGCTGCCTGGCTGCATCTCCGGCTTCTCTGCTCACCCCTGGTGAATAACGGCCTTTCTCCCCCGCAGATGCTTTGCCACGCGGTGTTAGCCAATGGCCAGACAGCAGAGGACCCCATGGAGATCATCATCAATGTTGGCGACCAGAATGACAACCGTCCAGTGTTCACCCAGAGGGTCTTCGAAGGGTCCGTGGAAGAGGGAGCTAAACCAGGTAGGGGAGTCTGGGTGAGGACACAAGACCCTGGATCCCTCTGGGCCACAGGCACAAGCCCTCCAGGACAGTCCTGTCGAAGCCATCCAGGCCGCCCCCTCAGGCCGACGCCCGCCCAGCCATGCCCCCGTGGGATTAAGTAGACAGTCTCTGTGACCGCCGGAGGCGCTGGGGGTTGCCCAGAAGCCAGAGGCTTTTCCAGCCGGGAGGCGCGGAGGGAGCTGGGCTCATGCTCGACTCCGGCGCTTGTTTCAAGGGAGCCCCTTTCAGCAGCCCTCCTTCCCCAGGGACGTCGGTGATGACAGTGACGGCCACGGATGCAGACGACGCCATAGACTCCTATAACGGCGTCATCACTTACTCCATCCTCAGCCAGGAGCCGGAGCCGGAAAAACAGAGGTTCACCATCAATAACGAAACCGGCCTGATCAGCGTGGTTGTGTCCGGTCTGGACCGAGAGGTGAATGCCGGGTGCTGGGACACATTGGGGGGTGGAGGGGTCCAAGCAAATCGTTTCTAAGATGGGAATTAATCGGGGGGTGGGGGGTGGGCTGCATTTCTGTCATCCATTTTCTACTGCTTCAATCCCAAGTGAGCCAGGGAAGAATCCTTGTTTGGCCCTGAAGGGAGAGATTGTTAGCTCTCCAAGGCAGCCCAGGCAGAAGCGGAACTGTGTGAGGGCTACCATGAGCAGAAGTATCTCTCCCCTCCTCTCCATTTCCTTTCTGGAGAATGACAGAGGGACCCTTCCGGAAGGTTCCCCCCTGCCTCCCTCCTCCTGCAGCTGGGAGGCCTTCTCCACGTCAGGTGGGACGGATGCTCTTCCTCCGTCTCCCAAGGCCGTTCCATCCCACCCGCCCAGACAATTGCAGTGTTTGGTTCTTTGCAGAGGATCCCCCAGTACACGCTGGTTCTGCAAGCGACGGACCTGCTGGGAGAAGGCTTGAGCACCACCGCGAAGGCTGTGATCACCATCACCGACGCGAATGACAACCCGCCAATCTTCGACCCTTTCATGGTAATGTGGGAGCCTGCCCCCTCCCACCCTTGGCCCTGCTGGGGTTGCCCTGGGGCCTGAAGGCCCTCTCCCTGTCATGCAGAAGCGCCCAGCCATCTCCCGCACTTCCTCTGCAGAGGCGCTGGGTGGGATTTGTGGCTCTCCGTTCCCTGGACCTCCCCCCACCCCGGTGGAGACTGGCCCTTGCTCCCCTCTGACGGCTCTGTCTCCTTTCAGTACAACGTGGTTGTGCCAGAGAATGAGGTGGGGGCCCTGGTGGCCACCCTGAAGGTCAAGGATGCAGATGAGGAGAATAGCTTAGCTTGGAAAGCCAAGTACAGCATCGTGAAGGGGAACGAGGAGGCGAACTTTGCGATCACTACTGACCCGGACACCAACAATGGTCTTTTGACCACGGCCAAGGTGAGCCGTGGGCCCCTCTTTGTGGGGGCTAGAATCCTGTGTGTCCCCAGCCCCATTTCCCACTGGAGTGTCTGGCACTTCCACTTAGGCCAAGTCAACCCTCCTTTTCTACCTCCTTCTGTCCTTCCAGGAACTGGATTATGAGACCCAAAGGCAGTATATTCTCCAAGTGACGGTAGTAAATGAGGTTGACTTCTCGGTCACTCTCTCGACGTCCACGGCCACCGTCACCGTCAATGTGAGCGATAAAAATGAACCCCCAGTCTTCATTCCCCCTGAACTGAAGGTGTCGAAGCCCGAAGATCTTTCTGTTGGCGAAACCGTAGCTCAGTACACAGCCCAGGACCCTGACAAGTTCCTGCAGCAGACCCTCAGGTAGGGGGCTGTGTGGAGATGCTTGTGGCAAGGTCCATCATTTGAACGGGGAAACCCGGAAGGTCTGCAGGCCGCTTGTCCCAAAGACGCTGGCTGAGCCCGGGGCCCTTTCCCTTGCAGATACTTGGTGAGGAGTGACCCTGCTGGCTGGCTGAAAATTGACCCTGAAACTGGCATGATTAAGTCAAAAGCCCCCCTAGACCGAGAGTCAGCTTTTGTGAAGGATAATATCTACAAAGCCATCATTGTGGCAAGCGACAATGGTAAGCTTCCTCCTTCCCCAAACTCTGCATTTTGTCTTGCACCCAAACCCCCCCAAACCCCTGGGGAACTGGGAAGGGGGGGGAATTGAGCAATGGTGCCACCCAAGTATACGTATTTGTGGAACTGACCCGCCCTCCCCTCTCTATCCAGCGAACAAGCCGGCCACCGGCACAGGGACCCTCCTTTTGCACCTGGAGGACGTGAACGACAACTGGCCAGAACCGGATCCCCGAATATTTGACATCTGCAGCCGCAGTCCAGAGCCCCAGGTGCTAAGCATTGTGGACAAGGATATGCCACCCAACACCAGCCCCTTCCTCGCCATGCTGGAATTTGACTCTGGTGCCAATTGGACAGTCAAGACCAACCAAGGTAGGCAGAGGCAGCAGCTGCCCTCCGCAAAACAAGGGAAGCGCCTGGACACACGGCATCAAAACTTCCTGCTTTCCTCTGAATTCTTTCCTCCTCTCCAAAATTTGCATTCAAGTATTAGAGGGAGACTCAGTAATGTCTTCATTAGGTTTTTTAATTAGTGTTTTAGAGCACGGCTCTATGCAGCTCTAACTCACATTCCGAGTGTGTGTCCTTTGCAGATAGTCTGACCCTTAACCTGGTCAAGCAGCTGGAGCCTGGGGAATACAACATCGCCCTCAAGCTGACCGATGGCCAGGGGCTCTCTCACGTCACCACGGTCAAAGCCATGGTCTGCAACTGTGAGGGGTCTGCCAAAAACTGCGACCGAAAGGCGTTTCTGCCAGCGGCAATAGAGACCTCCGCCATTCTGGGCATCCTTGGGGGCATCCTCGCCCTTCTGAGTGAGTACTGCACTTCCTTTCTCCCTGTCATCCCTGGGGAAGCTGAGCGGCCCCCTTCCGGCCGGGCGAGGGCTCCCTGCTTGTGGCTGACGGGGCCTCCCGAACTGCCTTGCAGTCCTGCTGCTGCTGCTGCTGCTTTTCGTGAGGAGGAGGAGGCAGGTGAAGGAGCCGCTGCTCCTCCCCGAGGACGACACGAGGGACAATGTCTACTACTACGACGAAGAAGGCGGAGGGGAAGAGGACCAGGTGGGCTTCTGGCTCTGGGCTTCTCGGTACCCCCACCCCACCCCCACCCCGGTCCCTGGGCCTGAGCTGGGCTCCTGCTCCCCGTGGCCTTTTCTTCCTGCTCCTGCAGCAGCTGGGAGGGCCGGTCACCCAGCATGGTGGTCCCACTTGACACCCCCACCCCCAGGGCTGGCGTGGAGCTTCTGAGAGGGCCTGGCATTTGCCTGGTTTACTTCGGCCATTCCGCTTGCACATTCCTCAGCAGCTCTGGTAAAAACGACTTATCTAAGCTGCGTTTTAGAAAGGGATCCCTGGAAAGTGAGTGCTAGGGTGGAAGGAAGAGTGATGGAACAAACCCATTTTGTTCTTCCAAGCGGAGGAAGAAACGTCCTCTGTTCACTGTCTGTGCTGGAGGAAGGGTTTCTTCCTGCCCATCTGCCAGAATCACTCCCGATTCTGCTCAGCTCAGTCCTGGAGTCTCCTTCCTCTGCCCAAGAGCCTGAGGCCGTCTTCTCCTCCTAGGATTTCGATCTGAGCCAGTTGCATCGAGGCCTGGATGCCCGCCCTGAAATCACCCGGAATGACGTTGCTCCAACCCTCATGCCGGCCCCGCAGTACCGTCCACGCCCTGCCAATCCCGATGAGATAGGAAATTTCATCGATGAGGTGAGTGGCACCGGGAGCCCAGTTCCCAGGCATTTCACGGGCACAAGCCTTCCGTGAGAAGCAAAACGTGGGCACGGAAGCTAAATCCTAGTGGCTGAACAGATGCAGCCTGCATAGAGACGGTCTGCTCTCTTGAGCTTCTGCAAAGATTTGGTGAGCCCTTTGTCGTTGTTCCTCAACTTGAGCAGCTTTAAGACATGCGGCTGGGGAACTCTGGGAGTTGAAGTCCACGTGTCTTAAAGTTGTCCCGGTTGAGAAAGTCTGTTGTAGAGAGATGGCTGTGCGCTCATCAGCTCCCTCCACTGTTCAACCAATGGAAGTTTTGTCCGTTTCCCATCCTGCAGAACCTGAAGGCGGCGGACACGGACCCCACGGCTCCCCCCTACGACTCTCTGCTGGTGTTTGATTATGAAGGCAATGGCTCCGAGGCCACCTCGCTCAGTTCCCTCAACTCCTCCCATGGAGACCAGGACCAAGATTATGATTACTTGAATGACTGGGGAAACCGTTTCAAGAAGCTGGCTGACATGTATGGGGGGGGCGAGGAAGAGGACTAGGGGTGACTGGAGAGGGGCCTAGGTGTGGGGGCAGAAGGCTAGAAGGGAGAGAGAATAGAGCCGACTTTTCCACAATTTACCAAAACGTACACAAGAGATTCCCCCTTGAAGAAGATTCCGACAATCTCGCCTGTGTGGGATAATTATAATCAGGGTGGCCTTACTGAGGCTGATTCAATGCAATAGGGAGTTTCTTTCTCAAAGGTTGGACACCCTCAGGGGGAAAAGGCCTCCCCAGGAAAGAGAGAAGTGTCTGAAATCTGTAAAGGGCAGATTTCGGTCTTGTATTCAAAAAGTTTCACCCAAGTGTCTCTACTCTCTTAATCTATCCTCTTGTTTACTTAAGAAGAGCCTCGGGCTTCTTGGGGCAAAATTGTAATGCATCTTGGAGAATATGAGGAAAAATATGCAAGGAAAATATTTTTGTGAGGGAGAGGATAAAACGCAGCTAACATTATGGTCACGGAACAGGACAGAGGTTCCTATTAGTGGCCGCATTGAGGGGTGGGAGCTTCTGCCTGCACAGATTGAAATCCCACAGTCTGGTTATGGTGGCTAACCCTTGGAGCTTCCTCCAGGAAGAGCTTTCCAAGCACGGTGATTCCAGAACCCTAACCAAAAGCATTTCTGGGGATTCTGCTCCTAAGTAACCTTTGGTTTCCAACCCTTGGACCTTTACTCTTCAAAGGCAGCCTTGTGAGAGCGATGGGGCGTGTCCCGGAAGAGAGGCAGGATTTCTGATTCTTTTGCCACTCCTCCTGGACGAATCCCCTTAGGATCCCTGAATCAACTTGTCCCAAGTGCTTTTGCTTTCAGATATTGCTTCTGCCAGACCTTTGCCTCTCCGAGGCCCGGAGTCCAATCTCTGTCGGGGGAGGCATCTGAAAAGCCATCCGGCGTGATCCCTCTTACTGTGGCTTGGAAGTCAGGGTCTGTGCACTGCCTTGGAGAGCTTAATTAGTAAACCCGGTTTTAGCAGAGATGTTACTCGCCCCCCACGGTGCCTTCTCATAAAGTGCCTGAAAGGTGGGAGCAGTCCCCTTCCCTGGCCAACTCCTCCCGGCCCCTTTCAGCTTTAGGCTACCCCTTGGGCCAGAGGGGAGCTCAGCGGTGGCTCAAAGACTGGCCCGAGTTCTTCCGCCTTGGGCCTTTGTCTGGGGACCAGGCCACACACACTCCTGTGCGGGGTCCTATAAAATACAGCTGGACAAGACGGTGTTTGTCTTCCAAGTAATCTATTTTAATTCGAACCGTTTCTTCTGCCAAGATGCCACTCGTTTCCTGTGATGTGTTTCCCACTCCTCAGCCCTGATGGTATAATTATTGCCCAACTGATGGGCACCATTTGGAAAATAGCTTTCTAATTTTAGATCCGTACGTTAAGCTATCCTTTTGAAAATATATTGCGGAAAGAATACAGAGATGCACATTTTTTAAAGTTATTTTATTGCACAGATGCTTTTAAAAAATAATAAACTATTGTTTAAAAAGTACTTCTTTTCTTGAATCTCTGTCATATTTCTTAGTCATTCTCCTGAGATGGCATGCTTTTTCTAACCTAAATGTTCTACTGATTTCAGACAGTTTTATTTTCAAAAGTCGTGGGGATGAATAACCAGATTTATCCAGGGTAAAAGTACATCATCTTTCCCAACTTGCTGTCGAATTTTTACTGTGATTTCCAACCATTTCAAAAAGCCATGCTCATTTCTAGACTTTTAACTGCAGTGGGTGTGCATGCGTGTACAATTCCAAAAGTCTTCACACAGTCAGCATAGGACACTTGTTAGTATGAATCACAGGATCATAGCTGGAAGTGAACATGAAGGCTGCCGCATTTGAAGGCCTTGCTCGCCTAGAGCACTTGGCTGCCTTGTTGCCCTTGAGGGTAGAAATGCAGGTCTGAAGGCGGCAGCTGTCCAAGCGAGGGAAGGCGGAGGCAGCCAGGGGATTCAAGCCCTACAGATGCATCCGTAGCGCTTGAGATTTATCCTTGGGGCCGATAGCTCTGCTCCACTCCAAGCATTTCCTTTTCACAGCAGAATTCCCTCTATTCCCAAGCCCTCGCCTTCTGCTTCATTCCTCCACTTAGCATGGGGAACAAAAGCCTTTAAACCGGTTTTTAGTTTCGGAATGCCCTATCTTGGAAAGGACTTATTACTGAAGTTCTTTCCATTTGGCAGTTTGCTTTAAGGTCCCGCAGCTAATTTTGAATAGTTTGGCCTCAGATTTACGGAAATAGTTTGACACTTTTAATGAACAAAGCCTGTTTTGCCCTTTTTGTAAGGGAGGCCCCGCACCGAGCCTGTCAACCACCATCCCCCACCCAAGCGCCCCAAGGCTTCATCTCAAGCGAATTCGACACCCTGAGCTGCGCATGCGCCAGAGGGTCTTGCGCCGAGGACTCCCAGAATCCCTCCGGGCTGCTTCCCTTCGCCTTTCCCCGCCCCTCTCGACCTTCCCCAATTGGCAGCCGGCGGGAACTTCCGCCCCTCCCCCTTCCGCCCCTCCCCCTTCCGCCCCTCCCAAGGGGGCGTCGTCGCCGTCGCGCAGGCCCACCGGACCTTCCCAAGATGGCTGCGCCCAGGAGCGCCGAGGGCCGGGACGAGGAAGAGGAGGCGGCGGCGGCGGCGGCGGGGCTGCAGCGGGCGGTGGGCGGCCTGCAGCTCTTGCTGGGCCGGAGCGCAGGCACCGGTGAGAGCGGCGGGAGGGGCGGCGGGCGGTGTCTCTCTCGCCTCCCGCGCCGCAGGTCCGGGGCGCCGCCGCGCGTGCCCTGCCCGCCGCTCCGACCGGCGCTTCCCTTCTCCCCGCAGGCCCGTCGCCGGAGTCGCTGCGCCTCGGGCTGACCGCGCTGGAGGAGAGGCTGGCCCGGGACCCCCAGTGGGCTTCCCTGCGCTGGGCGAGGACCGAGGTGGCCCAGCGGGCCCCGGGGCTGAGTCCCGGCCCCGACCCGCCCTGGGCCGCGGCCTGCCAGGCGCTTCTGCTGCTGCTCTGCCTCAAGCGCTGCCTGGTCCGCCTGGCAACCGCGACCCCCGCAGCCAGCCCGGGCGAGGCCGGGGGCCCGCCTCCGCTGCGCCCGGACGCCCTGAGCATCGCCCAGGAGGGGACCGTGCAGGCGGCAGCGCAGCTGGCGGTGGCCTTGGGCCTCCGCCCTTACCTGCTGCCCGGGGTGGCGCCCCCGCCCCGGGACAAGGCCGGCCTGCTCGCCGCCCAGCCCGAAGCCCCGCGGAGGCTCCTCGCCGCCTGCAGTGCCCTGGTGGAAGTGGCCGAGCACCCTGAGCTGGGCAGGCTAATCCTGGTGCGCCACCTGGGCGACCTGCTGGCTGGGCTGGCCCAGCTAGGCTTCTGCCCCGCAAGGAAGGCCCAGGTAGGTGCCGAGATGCAGGTGAGGGTTAAGGAGCAGCCCTGGGGGTCCTGCTCGGCAGTGCCCCGTTCCCTGCCAGAAGCGGCCCGGCCGGGTTTTTCCATGAAGTGAAGCAAGTGCCTCCCTGTTTCCTCCGGGCCATATGAAATGGGAGGGGGGACTAGCAAGCCACCCTTGGGCCCTACAGGTGAAAAGTTCTGCCGGGCAGGGAGGTGCCCGTGGGGCCCTTGTCACTGCCTTAGTTGGTTGAGCCTCTAGTCAGGGCTACTGAAGGGATATTTGGAGTGAGTGCCTCTTTGCATTTCCGAGGATTCCTTTGCGTGTTTTATTTTCCTAACTCTCGGGGTTTTTTTGCCAGGGCCTGACCGAAGGGGAACGGAGCAGCTGCAAAGAAGCCTTGCAAGGCCTTTTGGACAAAGTGTACCAGCCCCTGGTGGTCCAGGAACTGCTGCTGCTTCAAGGGGGCGCTAAGCGGGTATGACTGTGAGCCATGGAGAAACTAGATTTGCATCCTTCCAGCTCAGCGCTGCCTCTGTGTTAGTTTAGACATGGCTCTGCAGAGAACGGGTCTTTCTCGGTCCTGCTCCTTGACGGCTTGTCCCTAGAGACCCTGTCACAGAGGTTCAACTTGGGCCTTCCTGCCTTCCTCGCACGTGGAGAGTAAGCAGCCCCCAGGTCTAAATTGGGATGCGATACAATTGGACTGAGCTCCAGGGCCAACCCAGTCTTGTTAGGTGCCATCCTGGGAATCTGCTGCTAGGTGAATGGTCAGTTAACTTGAGTCCATTCTACCTGGGGAAGGGCCAGGGATGCCCCTGTTGCCTGGTGTCAAGGCCCACCGGGGCAAGGCAGAAGAAGGGCTGCTGCACAGCAGGGCTGACCGTGGTCCAGCATGCACATGTTTCTTTTTCAGGCCTCCTGTCCCAGCCAGCAGAAGAAGGAGCCTTGTATGGCACCAGCACCAGCCTGGCTTCAGCGCCTTTGTGGGCATCTGCTATCCGGGAGGCTGTTAAGACCTGGTGGAGTTCAGGCTGTGATCCGTGGCATCCTGGAGGGAGCCGGAGGTGAATGAGGCTGGACAAATCAGCCCTGCAAAGGCTGGGACAACAGAAAAGAGTCCTTTGTTCCAGTGTTTCTAAACTTGGCCCAGCCAAGTTTACTTTTAATAGTTCCTGTTTTAATAAATAAGGATCTGCAGGAAACAGAGAAATATTTTGAAACTGGACAAATAACTCTGTGCCAGTGTTTCCTGGATCAGTCCAGTTTGCCAGAACCAAACCTGGACTTCTGCATGGGGCAAATAAGGCAACCTGGTGCATGATCCTCCCAGGCCTTCCCCGCTCACTCCCGTCAGCTGCTGCTGGCCCCTCTTCTCTGCACGGCATTTGCCACGAACCAGCCCTTCTAGGCAGAGAGCAGTTCAGTCCCCCTCTTAAAAACCAGCAAGAGCAGATGGGTTGAGGAAGATCCAAGGTGACCTGGCAAGATACTGAGCAAGGCGGTTACTGCCGTGGCCTGGGTGAAGCTCCTCCTCCTCGTCCTCGTGGGGGAAATTGCAAGTCTCTCTGGCCACAGGATGGGCGGCGCTCTGTGTGCTCGTCTAACACAGAGCCTCCTGCTTTCCAGCTGGGGCTGTAGCGGGCAGCAGTGCAGAAGCGGCAGCAGCCGACTGGCAGAAGTGCGAGGCTGTAGCCAAGATCCTGTCCTCGTGTCCTCAGCAGTCTCTGTCCCTGGAGGATTATTGTCAACAGATTTGCCCACAGGTACATCTCCTGCCCCTTCCCTTTACCCAGCGACTGGCGTTCCGGTGCAGCTCAGGTGGCACAAGGTCCATTTGTGAGTCAGAGCTCCCGGAGCGGCTCCTGCTTGGTGGATGCAGAGTTTCCCCTCCATCTGGTCCCTGCAAATCGACTCTTCCTGGGCGGGCCCTCGGGGCCTGCAGTTCCTGCTGAGTCTTGGGGGCCTGTGGCCCTGTTCCCCCTCTCCCCCTTCTGGCAATTTGTGATAGTGCGGGCTATAAAACGTAATTTTAGAAATATTGCTGGTGCGCCTGACAAACTTTGAGCATAAACTCTGCTTTTACCTTTTTCTTTTAAAGATCCTGCAGCTGTTTCTCCTCCAGGATAAGCTGATGATGCACCAGTTCCATCGCGTGGCGACCGCAACCGTCCTCGCCATGGCCAGGCAACATCCCCAGCAGGCAGAGAAGCACCTGCTGCGTCCCCTGCTGGAGCCTCTCCTGCGCTGCCTGGGGGGGGCAGGTAACGGCCTCCCGCCCCCTGAACGCTGGGCCGGGCGGGGGGGCCGGAAGGTGCCTTATTAGCTCTTCCCTCTTTTTGGAACTCTGGAATTGCAGGCCTCCTAGAGCCCCTTGGTTGGGTTGGCCGGCTGTGGAGGTTGGTTAGTGGGTTGAATGACCAAACCAAGAAATTTCTGTCACCTTGGAAGGTGGGAACCTCCTTGTTTTCTCAGGGGCTCCTGTACCCCGAATTGGTGCACCTGGGATTCTTAGGCTTGGGTCTGCAGGGCTGAAATGTATCCTTCCTATCCTTAGTTCTCCCGTGAACTCTGGCAGCTCACCACAGTCCAGCCTTAGCCGTTGAAACAGTGTGAGGAGGTTGGGCTGAGCAAGAGGATTTGGGGAGAGGCCCAGAGCTCCCCATCCCATAGTTTCTAGCCTGGCAGCTGGGTGGCTCTCAGAGAAGGAAGAGGCTGGAGTTTATGGGCTGTTTTTTTCCCCATTGGCCACTCATATCGTGGAATATATTTAAGTGAAACCGGCCGTAGCTGCTCCCACATTCACGGTCCCTTTTTTTGTCTTCAGAAGGTTCCCTGGGAGACGTGCCAGCTGGGGCGGTGCTGGTGGAAGAGGAGTTGCTCTCGGGGTGCGTGGAAACGGTGCATAAGGTACGGCGCCAGCAAACGTGTCGGTATGCAGTGTTGGGAGGGAGCAGAAGCCAAGGAAGGACCTGCAGCTGCTTTCAGACCAAACATTCCCGTAGCAGAGTCGGGTTGCGTCATCTTCCGCAGCTGTGTCCTCCCTTCTCCCTGTGCTGAAGTAGGCAAAATGGTCTTCCCTGCAACGCCAGGCGGAGCCGCCGCTCCCACATGGCTTTCATGCTCAGCTCGATCCGCCTTTGCTAGCCCAGCGCTGCGGTCAGCTTGCTCTCAGCCAGCTGCCGGGCGCCAGACATCAGCACTGCCCGGCAGCACAGCCAGCCCAAGATGCAGCCCTCGTGAGGATCAGCCTGATCCCAGAAGGAATAGATCCCCTTACAAATAGGCTGGGGGGGGAGGGGGGCTCTGGGCTGAGCCATTAGCAGGCTCGGAGGTCTTGGGAGGCCTGTGCAACAGGCTGTTGGTTCAGCTGCGAGGTTGGGGGGCTGTAAATTGAAGGGCTGGTCTTTGGCAGACACCTCGATAGCTTCAGCATTTAAACACTGTTTACGCTCGAGAGCATCTCGGGCACTAATGAGCCCTTTCAGACAGCCGGCACACAGAAAGGGGTCCAGAAGGCCCTAAAATAGCCAGAGGTTTTTCTGCCTCCTGGTGTGTGTGTGTGTGTGTGTGCACATGTGTGTGAAGGCTGCCAGTTGAGCATGTGCAGAGTCTTTCTCCTCTCCATTGCTCCCCCTCACAGGTCTGTGTGGTCGGGAATGAGCCCTCGCCTTGCCTCTTGGGTGCCCTGCAGCCTGCGCTGGGGGCCGTCTTCTCCCTCTGGTGCTTCACCAAGCAGAACGTGTCCTTCTTACGGTGAGGCCCCTGGGCTGGTGGGGGGATCTCCAGAGCTCTTCCGTGGGCTTGCGGGGGACAAACCTCCCTGGCTGGAGGCATCTCTGGTCCCTGCCAGCAGAGACCCCACCCCCCGCTGAAGGCCGGGCTCTTGTGCCCAGGAGCCGTGGGCAGGGCTGGCCTTGGCGTTTCTGCCGGGGGGGGGAGGGGGATTGGCAGCTCTTCCGAAAAGAAGAACCTGATCCAAAGAGAGCAACACGGGGAAAGAGGAGGGTGGCCGGCTACGGAAGAGCAGCCAGCCCCCCCCCGGCTTTTGGGTTCCCATCGCCCAGGAGACAGACCTCCACCTCGAGCCTCTCTTCTGGGGGAGGCAGCTTGGCTTGGGGGCTTTCTGGGCTGCCTCTCCCCAAAGCCACCTTGCCCTGGACTGGGGTCAATGCCCTCCCTCCCCCCCCCCCGGTTGTTTTCAGCACCCCCTGCCAGGAGATCTTGCTATGGTTCCTGGAGAAGAGCGAGCGACGGGCTTCTCTGGCGGCCCTGGAAGGCCTGGCAGAGCTCAGAGGGAGCCCCCGCCTGCCCCACCCCCACTGCCACTTCCAGGTGGGTGGAGGAGGGGGCGTGGCGGCCACCATCCAGGAGCCTGTGAGGTGAGAGCCTGCTGGGCCTTTAAGGGGGGGACGACTGACCCAGATGGTTGAGGGGGTGGGGGGGTGGGGGGCTGCCAGGAAACCTGCCCCAGCCTCTTCTGCCTCAGGAGGGGGGTGCGGAGAGTCTCTGCGTGGCCAAAGGCAGCTGCAGTTTAGCCCAAGTATTGGGGGGGGGCACTTCCCAGGGGGATTCTCAGCTTTGTCTCTGCAGGCGGTCAGTCGTGGGCCAAGGACTCTCCCTGCTCCAAGGAGGCTGGGAGAGACGGTCCAGCCCAGAGCCTCGGGGCCTCTCCCCTTCTGGGTGCCCTGGTGGAGGAAAGTTTGCTCTTTCCCTGCCCAGTGACGAGGACGAGGCCCTCTATCGGAAGCTTTCGTTGGAGCAGTGGCAGCTGGAGCAGCTGGTGGACTTGCTGTCTCGCTGCCGGAGGGGCCGCCTAGCGGGAGACTTCTTCCTGGGCTGCTTAAAGGTAGGCCGGGAGCATCTCCGGGGGCCTCCGCAGGGTGTGTGCGCACGCGCCTTCCACAAGAGGAGGACAGGTGTCACGTGTGGCAGAGGCCAGCCGTTGCCCTTCAGCCACCAAGGGCTAATCCAGGCAGGGCAAGCGCCCTCCTCTGGCCTTGGATGGGGCTGTGGTTGGAGGAGGGCTCGGGGGGGTCTCATCTGGATCCCTGCTGACCTGTGTCTGTCTGTCTGTCGGTGTCGGCGGGTGTGTCCAGTGAACCGCCATTCTTCCCATCTGTGTGTTTCTGCCGTGGAGCAGGACCCTATCCTGCCGGTTGCTTAGCCCCTCTTCTTCCAATCTGTGCCTCTCCCCCTTGGTGGCAGGAGCTGACCCAGGTGGCCTCTGAGGAGGACCCTGCGCCCCCTTCGCAAGCCGCCCCCCTGGATCTGGAGCAGCTCTGCAACCCAGCCCTCCCCCAGCAGAGGAGGCAGCTGCAGGTGCTTCGGGTGGTGGCCCTGCTGACCGAGGCCCTTTCGGACTCTCTGCTCACCGATGTCAGGCAGGTCCGTCCCCTCCAGCCACCTGGGCTGGCCTGGCTGCTGGGCCTGAGGCTGGGCTGGGCAGGCTGCACCCCCTGGGGGCTGTTGAGAAATCACACTCTCCCTCCTTACTGGGGGCGGGGAGGGGTTGTGTCAGATGGGGGAGGGGGGGAGAGCAGGGAGGGCTTGGCCTTCATTTCATCCTGAGGCCCCCGGTCGGCTGCAGAAGCGAACTTTTTGGGTGGTGCTCCTTCCACAGGTGGTGGACTTCGTGGCAGCCACTCTGCAGCGGGCCTGTGCAGGTCTCTCCAGGGGCTCGGTGGGCCCCGTGGAGTCCCAGACGCTCAGCATGGCTGTGGGGCTGGGGGCGGCCATGCTGGGGGGGGTCCTGGAGGTGAGTAGCCGGAGGGGCCTTCGTAGTTCCGGCAGGTGTTTCCCTTCCTGATTCTGAGCGGAAGCCCCCTCCCCCTCTGGGCTCTGCTCCTCCGCCCTTCCCGCTCCTGTCCCAGTCTCATCCCCAAGGGAAAGACCACCCCCACAATGCCTGCAGGGTCTTTGCTGGGGGAGGGGCAGGCGAGGGGCCTGCAGGGAAGCCTCGGTCTCCCTGGGGAGGGAGGTTGCAGGGAGGAGGCGCCTTGGTGCTGCGGCTCTTTCGGTCTCTGACCAGCGTTGAGGCAGGAAGTGGGGAGCGGGGGGGGGGGGG